TTTGGGTCCCTTTGGGTCCCTTTGGGTCCATTTGGGGTCCTTTTGGGGTCCATTTGGGGTCCATTTCGGTCCATTTGGGGTCCTTTTGGGATCCATTTGGGTCCATTTGGGTCCTTTTGGGGTCCCTTTGGGTCCCTTTGGGTTCCATTTGGGTCCATTTGGGGTCGGTCCGCCCGCAGGTGGCGGTGCTGCAGTACGGGCAGCACGCGGTGCAGGAATGGCCGCTGGGCCGCTACCGGACGGCAGCTGAGCTGGTGGCGGCGGCGCAGAACATCCAGCGCAGGGAGAGCAGGGAGACCAGGACGGCTGCTGCCATCCGGATGGCCTGGTGAGGGGGGGGGGGATGGGGGGGTTGGGATTGGGTTGGGGTCCGGTCGGAATTGGGGTTGGGATGGGGTTGGATTTGGGACTGGGGAGAGATTGGGGTTGGGGGTGGGATTGGATTTGTTTTGGGTTGGGGTTGGGATTAGAATTGGGCTGGAGCTGGGATTGGGGCTGGAATTGGACTGGTGTGGGATTGGGATTAGGATTGGGTTGGGGTTGGGATTAGGATGGATTGGGGTTGGGATTAAGGTTGGGGTTGGAATTGGGGTGGATTGGGCTGGAGATTGGGGTTGGGTTGGGATTAGGATTGGGGCTGAATTGGGATTAATATTGGGATTAGGAGTGGGATTAGGCTGGGACTGGGGTTGGGATTGGGGCTGGGTTGGGATTAGGATTAGGGTCAGGATTGGGATCAGGGGTCGGACTGGGATGTGGATTTGGGAGCAGGTTTAGGGCCGGGGTTGGGATGAGGGTTGGGGCTGAATTGGGATTACTGTCGGGATTAGGACTGGGATGGGGTCTGGATTGGGCTGGGATTGGGATTGGGGTTGGGATCGGGTTTAGGGCCGGGCTCGGGGCTGGGATTGGCACCGGCTCGCGGTGAGCATCGGGACGCCGCCGCGCTCGGGGCTCTGAGCGCCGTGGCCGCGCAGCTCGGAGGCGTTCAGCCCCGCTGTCGGGGGGCGGCGCGGCGCCGCGCGGCTGCTGGTGGTGCTGACCGACGGCGAGTCGCACGACGGGGAGCGGCTGCCCGCAGCGCTGCGGGTCTGCGAGAGGAACAACGTCACCAGGCTGGGAATCGCGGTGTGCGGGGCGGGGATTGGGGTTCGGGGTTGGACTGGGGATGGGGTTGGGATTGGGGTTGGGGTTGGGATTGGGGTGGGATTGGGGTTGGGGTGGGGTTGGAGTGGGATGGGGGTTGGGGTTGGTGTTGGGGGTGGGATTGGGATTGGGGGTGGGATTGGGGTTGGAGGTGGGATTGGGGGTGGGATGGAGTTGGAGTGGGATGGGGGTTGGAGATTTGGTTGGAGTGGGATTTGGGTTGGGGTTGGTGTTGGGGGTGGGATTGGGATTAGGGTTGGGACTGGAATAGGGCTGGGGTGGGGTTGGGGTTGCGTTGGAATGGGATTGGGATCGAGGTTGGAATTGGGATTGGATTGGGGTCAGGTCAGAGTTGGGGGTGGGGTTGGGATTGGGGGTGGGACTGGAATTAGGCTGGGGATTGGGATTGGATTGGGATTGGGGTCAGGTGGGGGTTGGGGTGGGGTTGGGATTTGGTTGGGTCAGGATTGGGGTTGATTTGGGGTGGGTTTGTTTGGGATTGGGATTGGGACGGGGATTTGGGTGCGTATTGGGGTTGGAGTCAGGATTGGGGTTGGCTTTGGGGTTGGGATGGGGTGGGGTTGGGTGAGGGTTGAGATTGGAATTGGGCTGGAGCTGGGAACGGGATTGGGGTTGGGGCCAGGGTGGAATGGGATCAGAGTCGGGATTGGGATTCGGTTGGATCAGCGTTAGGATTGGGATTGGGGTCATGGTGGGCTGGGATTGGGGTTGGGGGTGGGGTTGGGGTTGGGGTGAGGTTGAGATTGGGGTTGGGATGAGGATGGACTGGGGATGGGGTTGGAATTGGGGTTGGGTTCAGATTAGGGAAAGATTGGGGTTGGGATGAGTTTTGGGTTATGGGTGGGATTGGGGTTGGGATCGGGATTGGGGCTGCGATGGGGTGGGATGGGTGGGGTGAGGTGCTGTGTGCGGTGCTGTGCAATGCGGTGCTGTGCAATGCGGTGCTGTGCAATGCAGTGCTGTGCAATGAGGTGCTGTGCAATGTGATACAGTGCTGTGCAATGTGGTTCAGTGCTGTGCAATGCAGTGCTGTGCAATGAGGTGCTGTGCAATGTGATGCAGTGCTGTGCAATGCAGTGCTGTGCAATGCGGTGCTGTGCAATGTGATGCAGTGCTGTGCAATGTGGTGCTGTGCAATGAGGTGCTGTGCAATGTGATGCAGTGCTGTGCAATGTGGTTCAGTGCTGTGCAATGCGGTGCTGTGCAATGCGGTGCTGTGCAGTGCTGTGCTGTGCAATGAGGTGCTGTGCAATGTGATACAGTGCTGTGCAATGTGGTTCAGTGCTGTGCAATGCAGTGCTGTGCAATGAGGTGCTGTGCAATGCAGTGCTGTGCAATATGATGCAGTGCTGTGCAATGAGGTGCTGTGCAATGTGATGCAGTGCTGTGCAATGAGGTGCTGTGCAATGCAGTGCTGTGCAATATGATGCAGTGCTGTGCAATGAGGTGCTGTGCAATGTGATGCAGTGCTGTGCAATGAGGTGCTGTGCAATGCAGTGCTGTGCAGTGCTGTGCTGTGCAATGAGGTGCTGTGCAATGTGATGCGGTGCTGTGCAATGCTGTGCTGTGCAATGCAGTGCTGTGCAATGAGGTGCTGTGCAATGCAGTGCTGTGCAATATGATGCAGTGCTGTGCAATGTGGTGCTGTGCAATGTGATGCAGTGCTGTGCAATGTGATGCAGTGCTGTGCAATGCAGTGCTGTGCAATGCGGTGCTGTGCAATGTGATGCAGTGCTGTGCAATGCGGTGCTGTGCAATGTGATGCAGTGCTGTGCAATGTGATGCAGTGCTGTGCAATGTGTTGCTGTGCAATGCAGTGCTGTGCAATGTGATGCAGTGCTGTGCAATGCAGTGCTGTGCAATGCAGTGCTGTGCAATGCAGTGCTGTGCAATGTGATGCAGTGCTGTGCAATGCAGTGCTGTGCAATGCAGTGCTGTGCAATGTGATGCAGTGCGGTGCAATGCAGTGC